CTCCCCAAGGAGGAGACCCCACAGCCTCTCTGGGCAGCCTGTGCCAGGGCTCCGTCACCCGCCCAGCACAGCAGTGCTGCCTGGTGCTCAGAGGGAGCCTGCCTGGGGTGAGCCAACCCACCTCTTTGGGTGTTTGCCCACGGACATCCTATGGGCAGCCTCACATTGTCCCAGTGCAGTGAGGCCTTGGCCATGGCCAGGGTTTGGTGGTGATGCTGGAATAGGGATGGTGAGATAGTGAGTCCTCCTGCACAGCTCTGTCCCCTCTCAGTGTCTGAACAACAAGCTCTTCCCTCATCCCTGGCTGCCGTGAACTGAGCTGAGGACACAGCGGCTCTGCAGCAGTCTCCTCGGCTGCCCTGATTGCACTGCACAGCACAGAAGTCACTTGGTGGAGTATCTTCTGCTCCAGCTGCTCTGGGCACAGGGGAGGAGCCCTATTTGTGGCTGCTGTTCCTGTCTGAGCCCTCCTGGCTCCAGGCACCATCCTCCCCTAGGATGCTTTGGATCAGCTGCTGCACATTAACTCTGATATTATTCATCACCAAGATGAGTGATAACTTCCTTCCCCCTTGCTGTTGCCAGCCTCTCCTGTGCAGTTCAAGAAGCACACCCGTGCCAAGTGCCACATACCCACAGCAGGGCTGGTTTGCTGCCGGGGGTCTCAGTGGAGACATCAGGGCTCTGGCCCTGCCTTCCAAGGGCAGCCCCCAGCTTTGCACCTCGCTGAGTCCGGGAGAGGCTCAGCACTTCCCAGAGGGCTTTGAAACCCCCCCGGTGTTAGAAAAGCTGCAGAGCTTGCATGACACAACTTCGACTTCTGTACAATTTTATAATTTCCTTTAATTGCTTCAAGCACTCTGATTTTTATACCGTTGTGAAAGGATCTTTGTTTACAACGATTGTGGAGGATAATATTTCTAGCATGGGTAACCATGGCAATGAATAATTCTATTCTCGGGAGCTGTGCCAGCTGCACTAATGCCTTATAGTAGCACTCAGGCAGTTTGCTAATGAGAGACGTCTTGTTTGTTGTAGGAGGACATTTTCCCCTTGTCCACGCATTAGTCTGTAGTTTCTTAAAAGCACATTCTTCATCAGCAACGCTTGGAGAGAAAAACTAAAACAAACCAAGCAAATCTCAATTACAGAGCTGCTCTTGCATGTAAGGTTTCCCTATTTTTTCTCTGAGATTGTACCACATGATATGTTATTTAAGGAAACTTTTGCTATGCAGTAGTCTGCTCTGTTTTTATTACCACCTTCAAAGATAAAGATGAGCTTAAGGTGCTCTAGAGCAGCTGTTTGTTGCACAAAAAGATATCAGCCTATAAGCTGCTCTAGTCAGATATGTGGCTTCTATCTCTAGAGGAAAGAGTTTAACTATTTTAGAAAATTACTTTTACAAACCATTTGGTTTGAATAAAGAATCCTTCAAAATTATATTTATAAAAATATAAGTCACACCTTGGAGCTGAGTTACTTTGACACCAAAGCATTGAAATTGATTGAAATATTGTCTCTCATCTATATACAAACACAATTGTTACGTATGTTAAAAAATCCTTAACACATATATTTTACAGTATTAGTGATTTAAATGTTTTAAATTATTTTAACAATAAAAGTTCCAAAATTGAGTATTTTTAGCTTAAATGACTTGGGAAACCCTTTGTTCAGTAGAATCTCTTGGTTAATAGCTAAACTACAGTTCCTGTCACTACATGACCTGTGGTCTCTGAGCATAAAACCAATCTGGTGGAGTAAAGCATCCTCTCTTGTTTTCAGAAAACCATTAACAATCCCAAGTCTATTATCCAAAATTGGTGTTCTTAGGAAAGATTTATGGAGTAAACATTGAACTAGACAAAGGAGTTTGGAATGGTTGTAACTCAAGGTTTCTTGAAAAGCACTTCTTGTCCTTGGGTCTTGGATCAGAGGGAAAGGTGAACATGTCCAAACAAAAATCACACCACAGACCTTCAGCTTTTTCCATGTGTTGCAAAGTGAATTGATCTCTTTTTTTTTGTTGTTTGTTTCTTTTTTTTTTTTTAATTTATTATTATTTTTGTGGTTAGTGACTAGCTGCTCTACTTTGTAGGCTCTGTTGCCACCAGTCCGTGTGTGCTGGACATCTGCCCAGAGCCAGCTATTGTGACTGACCCTCTCCCAGGGCTCCCCTCATTACCCACCTGTGCTTTGCTCTCAGAAAAGGTGCTCTTCCCATGTCCCTAAAGACAAAGCAAGGTCCAGAAAATGTAGTTTCCCAACAAGTTCAGTTTGGGCTGAGTTAAATGAGAAAAATTTAGCTTCCCAAACAGCATGTGTTTTTTGTGATTGTGGTTCCTATCAGCCTGGGCCAGCTCGGTTCTCCACAACTCTGTAACACCCTCACCTTTTCATCACGTAAAAAACTAGGTCAGTCCCAAAATGAAAACAGCAATGAAAAGCTGTGGTGATTTTGCACAAAGCTGTCACAACTCAATTGTTGACTTTTTTCCTTCCCAGTTTTCTTTTCCCAGGTGACAGCATTGCCTGTGTTTCACTCAGACCATGAAGTTTTTGTCTCTTCCTCTGTCCCTGAAGCTACAAATGCTTGTTTTGTGAAAATCTCATTTACTCCTCTCCCTCCATCTCATCCTGGGCTGGGAGCTGAGGGAATGGCCACTGTGGTGGCTGGTCCTCCCTTTGTGGGGTCCTCCCTTTGGCTCTGCTTGGAGGGCGAATGGACACCAGCTTGTGGTGCTGCTGGTGGATGAAGAATGTGTGGGTTTCCTTCCCTGTGTACACATATATCTGGGCTACCTGCTGTAGTGGTCTTGCTTGAGCAGGGGGGATGGACCAGTCAACCTCCAGAGGCGTCTCCCAACCTCCACCGTTCTGTGGTGTCTGGAGGGCTAGCTCAAATAGCTGTCCTGGCCTGGGGACCTTCTTTTTTTGGTTTTTGTTTTTCTCCCTTTATATGAAAGATGTGCATAGAAAGGGAGAGGAAAAGAGGAAGAAAAAGAAGGGAAAAGAAGAAAAGGGGAGAGAGACAAGGTCACTTCATGCAGCTCTGCCAGGTGGCAGAAACCCAAACCCAGGCTCTTTATGGAGGTGTAAATCCAGGCCAATGCTCTGCAGAAACTCTTTCCCTTCCAGGCATGGGGATGGCATTCCCAACAAGCTCCCAGCAAGAGGACCAACACCACAGAGGGTTAAAATGTTATCATTTCCTCAGCGGTCCCCAGTTAGCCCTTTTCCAAGGGCTGCGGTGCTGCTCATTAGAAGCAATTAATCTCCACGCTGTGCTCTGCTGTCAGCCCGTGCCGCCGTCACAGGCCTGCTCACCCGTGAGGGAGCAGCCGGCCGTCCCATGCCGCCCGGTGCCTCCAACCATGACTCTCTCCACTCCTGTCCCCTGCAGGTGCTTGGGGTTAAATGTGTGTGAGGACACACGTAAATGGTGAGGGGAAGCCTGGGCCCCAGATTAGGTTTGGGGTCAAATTAGATGCAGCCGTGTAGGAGATGTGAGCCACCCCCTAGTGCCTGGGCGCTCTGCACTTGGAGCTCTGAAAGAGAGGACCCAGCATGCTGTTTGGGAAGTTTTCTCTGACAGCTCTTGTCTGTTGCATCAAAGCCAACTGTACATGATGTGCAATGTTGCCATGCTTCTCCAGGGACAGCCGTTTTTGGATGACTGCCACCATCACCAATCTTTGGTGTCACTAAGACCATAGGAGAAGGCATCGCTCAGCCAGGTGAGGAGATGGGTTTCAATTCCCTTCAGCCACATACATTGTTGTTGGGCCTCTCTATAAACCTGCTTTCCCTTTGCAGCTATGGTTGATGGAAAGGAGCTGGAGTCAAGCATTTTATGGCTGGTTTTACCAGGTAGCACCTGAAGCACTATCTGTTCAAGGAGGTCTTCTGAGGCAGCGGGACCTGGTCTGATTCTTTCTTTCCCTATTTATTGATACATCAGCCTGCAATAGCAAGTCCCTATTTGGAGCTCAACAACACTCCTGAGACATTACCGTTACTTCTACTAGAGATTTCAGTTCTCCTCAACACCACAGAAAACCCCCCAAAGCATGCAGGAGACCCTGAAACGATCATCATTGTGTAGACAAGGCCAAATCTACACACCCTCAGTTAGAAAGGTTACTGGTACATGTATTATCTCCCCAAAATGCATGTCCCCATTGAATTTCACACCAGTATCACCAGATTGCCCCTACACAACTCTAGTTTTGTACTCCAGTCCTACACCCACGTGTCTACTAATGAACAGCCCCACAGGAGGAGAAGTGGGAATGGTTTTGGCAGTGCTTCCTTCTTTCCTGGAGCTGGGTGAGCCCAGGAGCCGACCTTGGCATCTGGCGCGGCAGGACAGACGGATGGCAGATGTGGACAGACCAACCTCTGCCTGCAAGCTGCCGCCTCCCAGCCTCACAAAGTCAGCTCCCTGATGCATGCTCTGATGAGATGCTGCTGCCTTCCCCTGCTGCGCACTCATCCTGCACCCCAGTGTGCCCCATTCTCCACACGGCTCCACAGGATGTGTGTAGGGGTAGAAATGTCATGAGGGTGGCGATAGGAAAAGTTCAATGGCTTGTTGAACAAAAGCTGCAGAAAGAGGCATGTAGGGGAGTAAATAAGATTTCACAATGGGGAAAAAGAATTTCTGAATTTGGAAGAAAACACCAATAGAGTTAAACCACATTCATTTTGAAACTCTTTTGCCTGCTTCTTGGCTTAAATTTCAACTCTGGTAGTTTTAAAAAATAAAAAGTTTAAAAGGTGGCAGTACTGTGCAGTGTCTTTTGGGTTTAGGAAGAGGAAATACAGCTTTTTCCCAGTATTGAGCACACACCTGGGAAGAGACTGAGTCTTCCAAGCTGAATCTTCTCTCTATTATTATTATTATTATTATTATTATTATTATTATTATTATTATTATTATTATTATTATTATTATTATTATGTTAATGAATGACTCTGCCATTATCTTCCAGCAGCTGTTGAGGAACAACCTGCAATGACTCATGATGCTCTCAGACGTCCCTGGTGAGGAGTGGGATCTGTGGCCAGGAGCAGAGGGATGATTTGCCACCACCCTGCCTGGCTGTTGTGCTCTTCCCTGTCTCGCCGGAGGTGGAGTGTGGGAAGGGGAGACGTCTGGGGTGGGGGAAATACAACTATTTTACCTCTCCTCTGCCCGTAAGTCAGCAGAAGTGCTAAGTGCTTCCAAGAAGAGTCCACTTAAATCAATAAGGTTACAAAATCAGAAGTAATGCAAAGCAACAGAGTACCCCAGACTACTCCCCTCCCTGACTTGCAGGAGCACAGGTTTTGCCCAGTGTCCATGCTGGGCCAGATTCTTCTCTCAGTTTAACTCATTGTCATCCAGCTATTCTCCAGATCATATGTGTTTGTTGTTTTGTTTTCCTGTTATCTCATGTAGTCTCCTGAACAATGCTGCACTTTTCTGTGGTTTCTCTTTGCACATCAGGTCTGGGGTGCTTGTCCTTTGGGGCAGGAAAGAGCTGGTGTGAGCCTGCTGGGGACAGCCTGCTGCATCTGGTCTAGGGGCTGCAGACCTGCCTGAAAAAACAGAAAAACAGTGGAGAAGTAACAGCAGCCTTGCCATTAGCTGTTGATTTCCATTATAAAGGAGCACCACCAAGTATACAAGTACTTCAGTGATGTAACTCAGCCCTTTACCCACAGGCACGATTTGGCCCTCTGTCTGCTGGCACAGGATGTGGAGGGAAGCCACGGAAGAAGGATCTTTCAGGGTGAGTGCATTAACTTGATGTTTTGGGACATAATTCTCAGAGTTAAGCTGCATGAATAGAAATTTTACACTGAAATCTATGATTTCCTCTAAATTCTCTTCTTTTGTGCCTCCTGCATGTGAGCTTTTGTTAGTCAATTGCTACACAGCATTTTACAGCATGTCTTTTGTTCAGTGGTCCTTTCAGCTGTCACACTCTGATCACGTTCAGCTTGGATGTATAGAGCACTTATTGTTTGCTTTGGGAGATTTTTTTAATGAACAGTTTCATTTAATATTCAGCCCTCCTTGCCATTTGTCAGCAAGATCAACATCCTGTTGAATTTCGCTCAGAGCTACCTCAGCGCTCCAGCGATGGGGCCACATCTCTGTTCATCGATAGCTGCAACCAGCCACAAGACCGTCTGTGTCAGCCCCACGTATGAGGGAAGAGAACAAAGACCTACACACAGGCATTAATGGGGGTTATCTTCTTTTCCTTTTTCTTCTGTTTTCAGGCACTGACCCATTTCCCCCCATATCTCCTCTCTGGTAAATGTCTAGAGCTCCATCTAAGGGTGTCCTGCCAAGGGGAAAAGAGAATTATCATTGCTTTCTTTCCTTGTTTATGCTGCATGGTGCAGGCCTGAAAAGTTTTTCCCTCTTTATACAATAATATTATCTTGATTTCTTTTTATAATAACTCCAGGGCTTGTCCTGATAGATTTGCTGGATAACTGTAATAGTACAGATATATACGAAAACTACATTGCTGAGAGGAGTAATGATTTTTCATTAAAACTATTAATGACCTTCAGGGATTTCTTTTCTGCTTCATTGAAATTCCTAAAAATATGTAGAAGAATATATATTCTTGGTAAACGCTTGGATAATTCTTCCACCTTAGCTAAGAGCTGGGAATACCCTGAGACCTCCTGTAAGTTGTTCAGCAAAAATAGAGAAAGGCAAACTTGACATTTTAGACATACATATTTCTTCTTTTAGAGCTATAAGAAAAAGCAGTCCCAATCCTCTAATGCATTGTTTTCATACAGAAGTATAAGCATAAACAAGAGCACAAGCCAATTTCATTTGTTTTCCTTGGTAGGTCACAGCTAACAGAGCAGTTTTTGAAATCCCAGCAACTGCTACTAATCCTGACCTGATTTGCCATGTCTTTAAAGGACACAAATAAAGCCAGGTTGATAAAGCTCAGTTCAGAGACTGTTTTTCCTTCATTTATCTCAACTGGGACTGCTGCAAAAGCAGGAAAACGTCACCAGACATAGAACTGAAGCCTTTAAAAAGCCCTGGGAAAAGGCTTCCCTTTTGCTACAAATGCTGCAAAATTGCCATAATTCTCCCATGCTATAATAGGGCTCCAGACCCACTTCTTGTCAGTCATCCTGGCAGGATCAATAACTCCAGGAGAGGAGGTCAGGATGGGCAAATAAATTGCCATTGAGTACAATAGTAAACAGACTGGCTATAAGCTCCCCACATATACATATACATATTCCATTTCCTGCAGAGTTTGTCATTTAAACTCAAGGCAAACTGCATTCAGATGGGAGGTTGGGAATAGTGGGGAAGGAGGAAGGAGGATCACAGGTCAGAACAGCAATCAATTTAACAGCAGGTGTTTGTGTCGATGTGTTTCAGGATTTTGTTCCATATCTATCCATAATTTTGGGATACTGATGTTTTATTACTCTTCCCAGTTCTTGTCTCTAACCACACAGGTTTTGGTGGTGTTTTTTTTGAGTCTGAATGACTCTTACTAAAATGTTGATATCCTGTGATGTGCTCTCTCTGCTGTTCCTCCTGTAATTCACCCTGAGTCCCTCCTCAGGACTGAGTGTTGCCAGATTTGTGATCAGCTCCCCCCTGCGCATCAGCCCTTCACCAGAGGCTTTCCGCTTGAACTAGAGAAAAGAGATTTCCACCCAAAAGACCAGAGGCTTATCCTCATCACAGAGCTTTTACTATTGTGTAATACATCTAATATGTCTTCTTTATCCATAAGATAAAAGCATTAATATCTCCATATGTCAAAGATTATATGCAAACATTCATTCCTCTCAGGATGCGATCCCCATTCCCTTACGTATAAACACTGCTACCACTTCTGCCCTAATTCCTGATACAGGGCAACAGTCTCAAAGAGCATTTCAGAAGATATTCATGCTCTACTGATTCATTCTTGTTAAATGTAAATACATACAAAAACATATATGCCTGGTCAGGGGCTTCCACAAGTCGTCAAATACTCAGTGTCCAAGTAATAAAAGGGCAGCTGATTTTAAGAAATCACAATAATTCCCAACTCTGGGGCTGTTTTGCAGCGGACAGATTAAAAGCCTCCAGCTGTATGCTATTTTCCCTGTACATTTTGTATTTTCTCAGTTTGAAACCTTGTTTGGTGCATTTTCTGTGATGGTTGTCATTGGTCTATTAATTCCAGCAGCTCCAGGGTAAATTCTGCTTGCATTTTCCTGTAGCTACACAGCATTTGATTTGTCCCCATCTACATAATCCATCCGTGCCCTGACCTGGGAATTGTGTGCAGCCCTAAGTGCCAGGGAGTGTGGGCTCAGAGCGTCTCTATGAAATACAAGAAAGTGGATCTTGCATGATTTCTGGCTTTCTTTTTCTTAGCATCTGATTAAATTAATGTGATTCTGTGCATGAGTCACATAATGCGTCTGTTTGACGTACAGCTTCTCAGTCATGATGCCTGTTTCTGTGAGGCAATGGGTATCTGTAAATGGGGTTACGGTTGCTCATCACATCTTGGGATCTGAAGCAGTGCCACGGTCCCTAAGGGTGTCCTAAATCATGCACAGTGCCCCTTTGCTCCTGAGCATGTTGTGGATTTGACCCATGGGTGCTGGTCCACCTGGTTTCTACACCCTGAGGACTTCAGCAAGGGTTAAACAAGCTCAGCCTGCAGAAGTCTTGGGTGTGCACAGAAGACAAACTGTAAGACCATAAGCTGAATGACAGTGGTTTGGGATGGGAGATGACCATGTCTGGCATCAGGATTCTCTTGAGAGTGTCCAGTGTAGGCGCTGCAGGTGGTCCAGAAGGAATTGAGCTCTTATACCCTGAAGCAACTCTCCTGGGTCCATCCCTGTCGCCTGGCCATGGCAGTACTGGTGGTCTCCAGCAGAGCTCTGTCTCACAGGCATGACTCCCCACTCAGATTCTCCCATGGCCATGGTTTATTGCATATTTCCCCTATATAATCTAGATTTACTTACAGTCTGCAAAGGTCTGTGGTATCTCGTCCAGGTGGGCTATGGAAGCCGACCTACCCCATCCCCATCACAGCAACATCTGGCTCTGGCCTACTTCTCCCTGTGTTCTTCAGAGCCTGGTGCTGGTTTATTTTTATTTTTATTTTTATTTTTATTTTTATTTTTATTTTTATTTTTATTTTTATTTTTATTTTTATTTCTATTTCTATTTCTATTTCTATTTCTATTTCTATTTTTAATTGACTTTTTTCATTCTGGTGGGGGTGGCTGTAGGAGGACACAAGGCCAACAACAGGTAGGAAACCAGAGCATCCAGAGTGTTGGATCTTAGGGAAAGATGCACCGAGATGCCTGGTACAATTACATCTGTTGGATGAGCTTAAAGCTGTCCCTGCTAATATGCAGCCCACTGAGATATTCTGTAAAAAACAATCCAGATGAAGAGGAAGGATGTGCTCACTTATAAATTGAACAAAACTATTTTTCCTTCTCGTTACCTTTTTCATGGCAGTTGCTGCTCCTTTAAAACACTTGCAGCAAGGACAAAAATGCTTTTTTCTTTTTTTTTTTTTCTCCCCTCAAGAAGTGTTTGTCTCCTGTCTCCCTGTACTTGAGCCAGCAGGCATATCCTAGAGTCACACAGTCTTGTGTTTTGAGGAGGAGAGGAGGGCTCACAGACTGAGAGCTGGGTACCAGATGCATGCGAACAGCTCGCCTCCTTGCCCCCAGGCTTTCTCTCTCCACAAGTGTGCGTGATGCTGCCTCACTCAAAGATCTTTGAAATCTTTGCCTGGGAGTCACACTGACATTGTTCTCTTTTATTGAAATGATGGTTCTGTGCTGAAAATTCCCTTGCAACTCTCTCTCCTGCTAGGGCAGGCACTGCTGGTTGGTTCCCAACTTTGTGCAGTGTTGAGGTCTGTGCTAACCTTGTCTCTTCTCACTGACTGCTTCAGCATTGCAGGGAGATGGATGTGAGAGGGGGCTAAAAGAACCAGGGCAGGAAACAAACATGAGGAAATAATAGCTTGCAAATGAAGATGGCCTCTGAGGAAACCTGGGAACACGGGTGTGGATCTGTATGAACTAAGTTACAGCAGAAAAACATACCTGGCAATTAAGGAAAATGAAAAATAGGTGAAACTTCACAGTGGGGGTTCTTCCAATGCCCCATCCTCATGGGAGCTATCAGCCCTTGGAACCACCTGCCCTGGAGAATCCCCACTGCAACACAGCTCATAGTTTCCTAGGTACAAGTCCCAGCAAGGGATTTGATCTGTAATCTAGACTGCAGTGTGCAGGACTTTGTTTGTTTGTTTGTTTGTTTGTTTTGTTTTGTTTTCCCATAAAATTTGAGTTTTTCTTGGTGGCAGGGAAATAGGGCTTTGGCCCCTCCAGAACTTCCCTCCTGACGCTTGAGCCATACACGTGAGGCCATGTCATGTCCCTGTCCTTAGGATGTCACTGGAACATCAAGACCTCAGTCCTCTAATGGACTACTTACCTCTAAAGCAACACATCTGCTGGTGCATGGCCAGCTTTCTCCCTCCTGATGATGCCACAGACCAGCTTGCAGCACCCTGGCATTATCAGACCCCAAATCAGCCCAGATTTGGAGTCACTGACCTTTCTGGCCTGGGAGAGAGTTCACATGTGAGAGCAGGAGAGCTGGAGGTGGAAAGATCCTGTTTTGTGGGTCACAGAGTCACTGCAAGAGAGAAGACTGTCCTGTTTCCTGAGGTGACAAGGACAGGTGATCTCGAAAGGATGGGTTGGAACCAGAAGGTTAGATGAATTTGTAGTCCAGTGCTCTCTTCTGTGCCCTGTGTCAGTTCAGGGTACATCTGCACAGCCCTGTGACAGTCCCCAGTTCACACAGCTTATATATCCTTTTACTTCCAGGTTCACCTCCAGATTAATCCAACTGGTTCCCTCCAAGATGAAACCCGTCACCAAGGATTGAAGATCATCTTGTTCCCCTCATCCACCTCCCTTGGCAGAAGACCTGTCTCTGGACAATATCACCCTATGGTGGTGGCAACCCTAGCATGGGGCAGCACGCGGCATCAGGATCCTCTTTTCTTCCCCTCCATCCCCTCTTGGAGGACAGGACACCCCTTCCCTGTGGCTCCAGGACACGAGTCACCTCTGCTCTTCTCCAACCTTTCCTCAAAGGAGCACCAGACCACGTCTCCTCCCCATCCCCACTGCAGTTCAGAGAAGCCGGGCACATTTTGGCACTTAGAATGGGAGGGAGCAGATCCTGAGACTGAGCAGGGCCAGAACATGGGAAGGAGAGGAGCCAGAAGGGGAGAACCAGGCTGCTGTGGATACAGTGACATTATCTGTCAGCTCACAATACTGCTGGTTTTAGGCATTTATACATTTAGGATTGGGACCTTCACCACAGTGGGGACATGTTCCCCATCACTAAGGATAAAAGTATTGCTACAGCTTGAGCTCACTCCATTTAGAGGTATGATACCCTGTTTGTTTGTTTTTCTCATTTTCTTCTGCTAATGTCTTTGGGTCAGCCTGCCCACATTCAAGCTCCACTGCTAAACCACTCGCTTGCTGGTCTTCAGCACGTGACGTGCAACATGGCCAGTGCTTGTCTTTGTGCTTTGATTTTAGGAACTCCTCTTACCAGAGGGAAAACAGATGCTTCCCATCCAGACTAATCAGGGAAGAAGTTTTACCCAGGGGATGCATCTGTCCGAATGTAGTTTAAATGTTATCAAATTGGTCAAGTTAGAGGACCAGCAGAGCTCTGCTGCAAGGAACAAAACAAAGGGACTGACTACAGATATTAAAATCTGCGCTTGCATGTGATTCTGGAGACTGTGCAGTGCACTTCGCTAGAAACTGAAATACCCTGAGGATAAAACAGCAGCTGGGATTAAAACAAAGCTGGCAGCACTCCAAAGTACCAGTAAATCACGTGGGATTATTACTTTCCAAGAGATTTTACTGGTGTGGAAAGAAAAGAAAGTAGAAACTGATTTCTGCTAAACAAAGGAGTTAAGAGGAATTTCCAGTAAAACTAAGCCCTCATCCTGTAAAATCTCAGCCCAGTTCTTAAAACTAAAATTAACAATATTTGAAACTCTAAACCCACTATTTCCAAGCAGGATTGGGGTCTGCCAAGGGCTGTAGCAGTCCATAAGGAGTTATTTCTTCCATGCAGTTTGCAATATGATGTATGGAGAGTATGGAATAATCAAATCTACATGCATTTCCTATCTACAAAATTTCGTTTTCTTTTTATTCAGACAGTGAACATTAACACAAAGAAGAGCAAGCATTTGGTACATCAGAGAAGAAAGGCAGAAGAGGTGAGGAGGAAAGAACACATGGTAAAAAAAAAAAAAAAAAAAAGGAAATAGAGACATAAAAATGCACTGGCACAGAAGTGTCAGAACAGACCTAAAATAACCAGCTGATGGGTGTGACAAGCGATACAAAAGTAGTGCTAGCTAGTTCTAGCAAGCACTAGCATCAGGTGCCCAGATGAAGCATCTCACTTTAACTACCTTCCCTGGGAGGCTCCAGTCTGGACCACTTGCTGGAAACCAGTTACAGCTCATAGCTGATGCCACACGACAGCACATGCTTCCTTGTCTCATTGCTGAGAATGCAATAACTTTATTATTTTAATTTTTTAATAACTGGAATACATTCTTTTAAAAGTGAAAAACAAACCATCACCACTTATTTCCATCCACCTTTAAAGGCAAACATCATTAGATCAGCCGCTCTACAGGTTTTTGGTCACAGCAATGCTTGAATGTGCCTTGGGCTTAGCTTTGCTGAGAAGCATAGATTAATCCCAGTGCTACTCTTTCTTCCACGGCTCTGGCACAAATTAATTCAAAGGAAATGTGTTAGCACAGCCTGCATCAAACCTTGCATTAATTGAGCTCACTGCAAGGCAAGTGTATATGTATACGAAGCAGCTGCAAGTTGAGCATCGCTGGAGGAGGGGAACGTGAGTATTCTGGGGTGAGAGTTGGTCACAACCCAAATCTGGCAGTTTATAGCACATGCCATAGCCTGTGGCCCAGATTTTTTGCTGAATTCATCATCTGACAGTCTTCTTATAGACAAACTACCGGGAATCCAAATATCCAAGTAGGACACAGGAAATTGATACTGTAAGGGTCTCCATCTATTGTCACTGCATTGTGTAATTGCGAAGGGCATGTCCATGTAATGCCCGTTCATATGATGTTCACACCAACTGTACCTATCTCAAGTTTTTGTATCATCCCTTACCATCTGAGCCATACACGGTCACTAGGAAACTCTCTAGTAGCCATGTGTAGTCAATCCATAGACCTTCCCCCTCCCTGTGGAGGGGATGCTTCTGTTTTGCTCCTCTTTTTATTATTTATTTTATTTTATTTTATTTTATTTTATTTTATTTTATTTTATTTTATTTATTTTATTTATTTTATTTATTTTATTATTTTATTTTATTTTATTTTATTTTATTTTATTTTATTTATTTTATTTTGTTGTTGTTGTTTATTGAGCTGGTTTTACTGTGCAGTTGTGCTCCTGATGGAGAAAAAAAGCTTTTGGATGTCATTAATGACCAGTGACTGGAATCACACCGCTTCTTTTAGAAATGTGTTCCTAGCCCAACCCTTTGACCAGGTCAACTTAGATCATCATGATTAATAAAAAGAATTAAAGAATGAGAATATTAGACCCGCCCTGTCTTTGTACCTTCACGCTCCTATGTAGTGCATGTAACCAACAATGTTCAGAATGAAATTCAGGTACCATTTATCCCATCTGGTAGAGTGTTTAACTGTACTTCATACAGTCACAGTTCCCATCACAAAATATTCTGCAGGAGTCAGAGGCACATATGTGAAAGCCTACTCTGTTTTGTTACTGATGTAATGGCATTTACTGGAAAAAAAAAAAACATTAAGAAAAAAAATAGTCTGGGCTAATTTCATTCTTTCAAAAACTGCAATTTAACCTTGATGTCAGAAGATGGCAGCAGTAAAGCACAATTAGGACCTTTTATGTCCCCAAGTCTTTTCTTTCAAAACATATACTTGTTCCAGAAAGAGGCAGATTTTTCAAAAGGTGTCACTTTCAACAGTGGCATCGAGTATGACAGACATCCTTCCAGTAAACATGAATGCATGACTGCCTTTCATCTCAACGGAAAGCATGTATCAAGAGCTCAATATCTCATTACATGTAAGCACACAGAAAAATTACGTTGCACTTTTATTCTCAAGAAACAAGTGTTCTATCTCATCCATAAGAAAAGATAACATTTTATTTCTGCAAATGCCCGTGTATATCATTATGCAACATAGTGAACATCTACTGAATTTCAAGGACCATTTCTTTTAAATAAAAAAAAAAATCTATTCTTACTGCAAGCATTTCTTCCAGTAAAGACCCCATTTTAAAGCTCAGGAAAAGCAGAGAGATTCTGCAGTTGGAATATTCATCAGCTGAATGAATGTTCAACAGTTTCACACCACCTTGAAGGTCTTTGGCTGTGAGTCTGTCAGATTCCCCTATGGCTTAGCAGGCTGTCATCTATCAAAGGACACAGTGATGCCAGGAGACAAAGTCTGTTTGATTTAAGAAGTTATCTCAGAAAGAAAAGCCAAGAGACAAGGCATTGTCACTGAGTTTGTTTCCACCTTCTGCAATAATAACTCAATATGTTTACTAAACCATATTCTCGAGGTTTAACATCTGACATGACTACCAATATGTTTTCTGAGCTGTGGCATGACAAGTCCTGCCCTTCTTCGAGTTCTGACCTGACCAGTTGCCTTACTTTGTTGGGTCCTCACAAATGTCATTACATTTCAGTCTCACTTCAGGGAGATTGGAGGCAATTCTATCCACTCTTTTCCATCACTTTAAGGGGACAATCCTGGAAACACTCCAGTGTGATGCAAACCAGATGCTGGTTTTGACAGTCAGTGTCTGAGATTTAAAATCGGAGCGATGCCTATAGGTGACATTGTTTATCCCCTCAGCCATGTACCTCTTCACTTCGCTGGGGATGACTTGCCTCAGGATGTCTCTTTCTGTAACCACTGCTGAAGAGCAAGGTGCTTTTTTCTAGCCAGAGCTTCTCGAGGGTTCTGCTTTTGCAGTGTGTGGTTGCAGTATGCTCTTGCAGTGTGCCCCTCCCTTGAGCCTGATGACCTTTGGACAGTCTCTTCTCCCTGGGCCAAGGCACAGGATTTTGTCTGACAGAATGCGTTTGTCTTTAGTTAGCAGGTTCAGGAGTCTGGGTCATTTCTGTTTTTCAGTGGATGTAAAGGTATTCAATACCTTTACAAATGTAATATAAAGCATATTTGTGTCTTTATTTTGTAAAAATACTCTTTTCTTCCAGCTTTGATCATGTCTGTGGCATCGAAATAGTTTGTGATATACAGGTAATAATTCCCACAAGTTATTTATGCAGCAAAACACAGTTCTGCTCCTCAGCTGCTACCATAGAGTGTTCCTTAATTTCTTCAATGGATCTGGTCAGACTGGCACCAGTTGAAGATCAAATCCCATGTGATTAACTGTGACAATAACCACAGCTAATATAGTCTTAACCTGTATACCTCTAGTAATCCATGTAGGATCTAAGTAATCTGTTCAAAATGATAACTCCTGAGGTGTCTGTCAGTTGTCGTAAAGGGAGAAAAACATCTGTGATTCTTCTGCCCTTCCCAGTCTCAGGACTATTATTGATCAGAGCTGCACCTTCTCACTGCACCTGGCTGTTTCAGGGGATGGTTATAAGCCATTGCTGTGCAGTTATTCATCCTACATAATACATATCTGTAACCCGATTCATCATAGAGTTACACCAGAGTTAGGACAATATGATTCTACTAATTTTACAGAGCCTACTACTTGCTTTAACAAGGCAACTGACCATGATGACACAAGCTCTGAACACTGCCAGCATGGGTTGTGTAGCCTACTGACCATGCAAGAGACAAAAAAAGGCAGTTCAAAAGCTGGTGCTACCCTAAGTACCTGAGAACCAACTGTATTTCCAGCTGCTTTTTAGAGGTGCTCAGAAAGAGCACTGTTTAATTAAGAAAAGGGTTGTAATCAAAAAGATGAGTAAGGTCAGAGATGTGGAGACTTTCACTCCATATTCTGGTATATAAAGCCTATGTGTTGTAATCCTCTAATACCAACTATCATAAAATAAAACCATTTAAATATAATGAGTGCATATTCTCCCTTAGAGTCAGGGAAAGGTGAGTTTATAAAAGCAGAGTAGACAGCACTACAAGTATCATTCAGTCACACATCTTCCTCAGATAAAGGATGATGCTACGTTAGCTCTGCAAGTGACTACAACAAGGGTTGAATGATCTTCCCTGTTTTGCTCTATTTAAGAACAAACTTCAAATCAGATTTTCTCAGTAGAGAGAGCTTTTATGTAATACTCGATTGTTATCAGTAATAACAAACGAACTAATGACTGCTTTATTCCACTCAGCCAAAAGGACCAGACAATAAACTAATCTCTCTCCTTTTCAATCTAATTTTGCCATGGGAATCATTGGTGCTACTTAGTAAAATCCCTACATAGAAGAAATACACATTGGTGAAAAAAAAAAAAAAGAAACAAAATCTTTCTACACTGATCTGATGCTATCTTGATAATGACTAAAAATCCATCCATGTACCAATTTTCATTTCCTGATCAAGTCAGAGTATGTGAACATTACTTCTAACAATGTCCGTAAACTCTTTGATAGAAACATTTTGAATTTTGTCTGGGAAAACCACTCAGTCACTCATGACAGTAATGAAATACGTTGATGGAGTTTTCTTTTGCATCCAATCATAAAATGGTTTTCTTCACTATCGGTGGTTATACTTCCATTGTGGTTCAAAGCAGAAGATGATGTAGCTGCTCTGTCTGAGGCACGGCAGATGTTTCCATATATTAAATGAATCCTGGAGCCCTCCAGAGAGAGACCTTTATTCAGTACAAGCTGGGGTGTATTACAACAGCTTAAACCACTCTTATTCATATCGATGTTCCTGTGGAACAATCAAAAGATCAAGTTCATGGACAAATCAGCTTTTCAATGTGTGTGCATTCAGTCTATATGGTCTGTCCGGCTTCCCTTTGTGTGCTGGGACCCTGTATCAGCAAGACAGCGAGTCACTGAGTCAGCGAGTTCTCTGGTCTGGCCATGTGGGACACAATACAAGCCAAAGATTTCCCTTTTCATTTCCCTGGTTACTTCTGTTTCCCTGTTACTTCTGCACATGGAAAGCCATGCAAACCTTCATGCAGCCATGGGTGTAGTGAGGCAGGGATTGTCCATGAGCCACATTAAATCAAATCTCCATTCTCTGGCAAGGAGTCCTGCCCCAGCTTTCCTGTAGGCCCCCCTTTAGGTACTGGAAGGCCGCTATAAGGTCTCCCCAGAACCTTCTCTTTTCCAGGCTGAACAACTCCAACTCCCTCAGTCTGTCTTCATAAGAGAGGTTCTCCAGCCCTCTGATCATTTTTGTGGCCTTCCAATTCTTTATTTCAACAATTTTTTAAGACAAATTTTAGCAGTGAGAGATTCTATTGAAGTAATTTTATTTATTGGCATTCCACACAAGAAGAATTTCACCACCCACAGTCAAAGCTGGAAAGCAGCTGATGGAGTGTAATCAAGGCTTTAAAGAATTGCCTGTGTCTGGTATTTGATTATAGATTACAATACAGTCATTACAAGCCAAGATACAGTCATTACAAGCCAAGATCAGAAATTGGAATTAGTACTTTTTTGGCTTTAAGATATTAATCTCCATTCACTTCTACATTCATCGGTTGGAAATAAAACCAATTTTTCCACATACAGCTAAAACTTTAAAGTGATAGGAATTTGAAAATGCAATCCTTGCCTTGTTGCTCAGTAGCATGTTAGCTACATGCTTACGTTACTAATAATGGCTAGGCTTCTCCATAGCACAGGGAAGAATATTATGATTGATGGTAATGCAGACTCAGTCTTCAAGGCTTGAAGGATTGGACTTTCCATGTTTGTCTTGACTGGTTGGTTGGAATAGTGAAAATAGGATGTGACATCTGCCTGTGCTTGTGTGTGCAAAATAGCAGCTGCATGAGATGTGATAGGCAATAATTGGCTGCCTGCAGAGCAAGAAAACACCCACATAAATGATGGCTCTCTCTTCTGAAATTTAGGCAAGGAAGTCTTTCAACAAGGGGCAGGCACCCTATCAGGAATGAGCTGTCAAATCTGCGTACATCATTGCGTCTCATTAAAATGGGAAATGCAGCTCTTCTAATCATTAGTTCAGACAGTGCATCATCCCACCATCCATCAAGATGGTATTATTGTAATGCATTATTTGTGTCAGTGTTCACCACAGCAGAGTTCTTGGAGACTCCCAAAACAGACATTTCTTCTTTTACAGAAAAGCAGAGAAACTATTTAAAATTAGGGATTCTTAGGAAAGAAAGATAACACAAAAAGAATCATATTGCCATAGTGCACCTACACCTCGAATATTGTATATTATTCAGGTATGTTCTGTCACAAGAAGGATATGGAAAAGGCAAAGAAGGGAAGCAGAAAAGATCAAAGGAACGGCATCTGTTTTAGGAACAAATAAATAATCTTAGTGTCTTCAAACCAGAAAAGAGACAGTTTGGGGAGGGAGGGTGATACCTTGATTTGCATCATGTGAAGATATTAAGCAGGTAGCAGTATTCACCCTTTCTTATATCTATGACTTTATAGCTACAAAATGAACTTTCAATACTCAAAATGGTTCAATTCCAAACAACTGAAAGGAAGAACTTTTAATTCACACAGCCAAATGACAGAACTTACGCCACAGAGTGTTTTGGATGCGGGATGATGAACTCACTCCATGAGTGTGTAGAAAATAAAACCACTGAGAACTATTACACAGAAATAATTACTATTGCAACTTCTTGATGAGGAACTTCTCTGGACTGATGAAATTTGAAAGTTACACTGCCTGTCCTGTCCTTACACATAACACTAATTTCAGTGAGCTGGATGGATCTTAAACTTAACCAATGGACTTATGTTCCAGTGATGTAAATGCATTTTGTTATTGTTGCTACTATTAGCTGTTACTGTTATTATTAAAGCAGTACCATACATTAATAAGATTATGTATTTTTAAAAACATGGTGTTTTCACTAATATCAAAAATCTCAACGGCCTCTGCCTGGGACTGAAAAATGATTTCAAGACAGGAAGACCTGGTATTACAGTCAAAGCCTTGGATGAATAGCAAAGGCTAATGAGATGTCAGTTTTTATTTGACCCAGTTGTAACCCAGATATGGAGGTGACCTGACTGCTAATTTATTAGCGAGACTGCTGTGGCAGCTCCTGCTGTAATGGCTTAAAATGAAATGATTTTTCTCCAGCTTTTCAGAACATTGCTTGGTTTTTGTGGTTTTAAATTTTGGATTGTAATGTTGTAATGGTTTCCTTCTTTTTATCTGTAGCCCTCACATGATTTCAACCTTCACGTTAGAAAAACAAACAAAAAAACATCATCTAGAGACATCTAAAAGATATATTTAAGAAAATACCTTGCCATATCTCTGTTTCCAACACCTTCCAGCTGTGGTGATGGGACAAGACATGATGCTGACTGTGGCCCCTTAGGCTGCCTTCATCCACTGGATCTCATTATGTGGATGCTTTAGGCAGGGGCATTTTACAACCTATGAGCAATACTGCAGTAGGGCCCCAGGAAAAATAACATCTGGAAGTTGTCTTGAGCTTGCAAAACTTCTACTCCTCCTAAGTCATGTGTCACTTCCTCTAAGATTCGAAGTCATAATAGAAAAATGAAAATGGAAGTGACACTGTCAGCAGTGTGACCCTCACAGCTGTGCATCCACTGGGACCCAGAAGAAATTGCTTCTAAATGCCAATAGGAAATGCCATAGGAAACTGGTCAGCAGAGCATTACGTTTGCGCTCTGATTTGGCACTCTTCAGTCCAGCATAGAGAGGGCACTACTGGCTGTTGGCACCAGGCAAAGCAAGGGGCTTTTCAAGGCTGCAGTATTAAGAAAGGTGGGTGTTTTCATGGTGTTGTGTCTTCACTTGCATTTGTAATGGTCCTTGCTAAATATTTGCTTCAGATGGTATGAAACTTTATATTTAAAATCATCGAAAATGCTGTGATAATACAAACTGTAAATGAAATCAGAAGAAAATGCTTGTGAAAGGTAGAAAATGGGTATAAATTGGGACAGATTTATTTATTTTTTTCTTCATGAATTTTATTCAAGAGCTTTCAGTTAACTATGGGACACAATTTTTACAGATAGTATCTGCCTGATATATCTAGTTTACTAATAGTACACAACACAACTTTGCAGATAAGGATGGAGAGTGATACAGAGAGAGAAGGTTTCAGTATTTGTCCCAGTAAAGGCCAGCATAGCACTGGCTACCACCTGGGCTGTCTGGTGGCTGGTGTCAGCTGCCATCCCACTGCTGGCATTGGGAAAGTTCAGAGGGAGCTGCTGGTACGAGATGCTGGCTGAGGAACTGAGCCTGGTGTCTGGCTTCCACGTCCCCCTGCCTACTGTGAGGAAAAGAAGAAGAGATTTGAAATGGGGGCATCAGGATTGGCCATGCTAAGAGTAATATGAACAATGTCCCCATCTTCCATGTCCCCCAAGACAACCAGAGCAGCAAGCTCCACCTCTCCATCCCTCCAACCCTCTACTGCTGGCTCACCATTCTGGCCTCTCCTTTTATGCCATCAGAGACAAGAACAAGATCTGGCCTGAGCTTGGGTTTCTCCATTTGCTCTTCCTCACTTGTGTGACAGTGATTGAGGTGAAGCAGGGACCACACACTGGTGAGGTAAGGGACGAGGCTTCTCACAGGAGCTGGTGTGAAATGGAGTGGGCCTGGGCTGCATGGGGGTGACAGGTGACTCTATCTCGGGTAGTGAGAAGTGATGGGATCTTGTTCATTTGGAAAACTGAAAGATAAGAGAAAAGGAGTATCACAGAGTCATTTTGCTCTAGTACCTGGGGCAGAAAAATATCACTTTGGCAGCTGAGAAACCCTGGACTGGCTCTTAGCTCTGCAGAAAATACAGTGAGAATCCTTCATGCTCCTTACACCATAAACTGAATGGCAAACATAGATTAAACTCAAAATGTAAAACTAATGACTACTTTCTTTATGACATTGAATACCACAAAATTCTGCAGGGCTGTGGATCTTTGGAGGCACCTCATTGTGTCAGTCTTGTAATGCTGAGGCAAGTGTCTTCCACATGAAGCATCTTTCATATGAAAGGAGGCTGAGAGAGCTGGGATTCATCAGCCTGAAGAAAAGAAGGCTCAGGAGGATTTTATTAATGTGTCTAAATACCTGATGGGAGAGAATGAAGATAAGGGAGCCAGATTCTTCTCAATAGTGCCCACTATCAGGACAAAAGGTGATGGACACAAATAAAAACAAAAGAAAACCCTCTTTCACTGTGAAGGTGGCTGAGCACTGGCACAAATTGCCTAGAAAGATTGTGGATAGAGACAATCAAAACCCAGATGGACACAGTCTTGGGAAACCTGCTCTAGGTGGCTCTGCTGAAGAGGGATTTACTCTAGGTATTCTCAGAAGGTCCCTCTCAGCATAAACAATTCTGCAAAGCAGATCCAAGGGGGTATGAACTGCTAGCAGGAGTCAATGTGGGACCTGGGAAAGTGTGCTGGACTGGACCCAGGGGACCTAGATGCATCTCAGGTGGTCAACGAATGACTGAATGTGGGTGGGAAAATCACTTTGCTTTCCAGTGCTTCTTTTTCCCCACTCTTATAATGGACTTAAGAGTGCTTACCTCCATTAGAAAGCTCTTTGAGGCTTATGACCACCATGTAAAAGCAAGATATATATTTTTTCCCCTAAATGTGTTTTATTGGTCCAGTCTCAGTTAACCAAAAGTTACTACATTAAGAATACAGTCTGGGAGCTGTGACTGCCGAAGTCACTGGGCACAGACTCTGGCATCTCCTTCCTCTTAGAAAACCATGCTGATAACATCTCAGTGGGCTGCTACAAGGTTTGTTGTTAATGATTATACACCATTTTGAAAGTTCAGTCTCTCTAGAAAATCATTGATATTAATGACCCGGACCCATGTGAGATGAAATTCACGAATGAGTTCAGTCTCACTGCCGAGGGGAACAATAAATACTCACTCAGGAGCCAGGGGCAGTTTCTGAAGGAATGGCGTAGGCTGACACAAAAGCTGACCTATTCCAGCTTGCCATCAGGCCAGGGACAGTGGTGCTGCTACCTGGGAATCCTTGTGTTAAATGTGTCTGTACAACTCACACAGCAAACTCAGCTTTTTTCACTCCCTTCCTCCCAGCACAAAGTTCACTTGAAAAATGATAAAAAACTGTCAAAGGAAAGTCCCTTCCCTACAAGTGAATGCCCTCACTACACTCGTACTCCCAACACACAGCTCTTGTATGTTAGCTCTCACAATGTAGGTCAGCCTAATGCAGGGACACTGCCAAATACCCCTTACCTGTCCTCCCTGTTGGACATGTTATTTTTTCTCAGCTGAAAATGCTGGACTAAAATTTGGCAGGGTGACAAAATAATCATACACAGGGTGGTAATGATGATATCACCAGGTGTCCTGTAGCTTTGAGTTATTACCATCACAGCAAAATTCATTAGCATGTCAGAGCACCACAGCCCAGAATGCATACAGACCAACACAAAGAATTAGGGCATGAAAGACAGCTTATGTGGAGAGTCACTGACAATGAAAAAAAAAAAAGATAATATTGTGCTTAGGGCAATTCTCATTCATCAGAGTCTTGTCAGTATGGTTAGATCCTACAGAATAAATGTGTCTAACCACATCTTGTCTGGCCACACTGAAGTTAGAAGGGTATCCTTCTTTTTCTTTCTTTCTTTCTTTTTTTTTTTTTTTTTTTTTTTTTTTTTTTTTTTCTCCTTATAAAGCAGCCAGAGATGTGGTTGTGTATCAGGCCATTTTCTCTGTCTCATCATCAACTTCCTTTCTACTATATAGTACATGATGTCACACCATATATTAAAAGGTATCGATCCATTTTCCAACCCACTAAATTGATGGATTTATGGTTTCAGAGAGTGAAAATCACTGCAGCCCCCTGGAAGGCATCTGTATGGTGATAATTTAGAGTGGTAAGGTCCAAGACCAAAGCCACGTGTGATCACGCTGCAATTTGTCAAGCTCTTGCAAGCTGGCTTAATATCCATGCAGGTGATTTCCAAGGATATTCTTCTGCATAGATACTGGTGGTGGTAATTAACTACAGTCCCTCTGAGCCACTGGGCTGTCAAGGGTCATTTCAGCATGAAGACATGCTCAGCTGCTATATATGATGTTTTCCAGGCAAGACACAGAATTGGGATTTTTCATTTACAATAACTATTCCACAAGGAAGGGTAATGCTAATGAAGTCTGGTGTCCTACTTGCATCCCCAAATGGAAAATTGCCACTCTGCCTGTTTGAAGATTTGTTTTCTTACAGCGCACAGTTCTTTTGAGCCCTACACAGTCACACATTGCTGCTGAGTGCAGTTTCCTTTTCCCCTAATGTTTTTGCAACACCAGTCCCCCATTGGGGGTTGAGAATCAGGCACGTCCTGCTTTAAAACTCGCTGAGTAACTCTGAATCCAGGTTGCACTGCTCTGGCAGCACCACCATTTTTACCTGTACAAGGCAACATGAAGTGAGAGATTGTCTTACTGACATTAATGTTCAATGCAACTGGAGCGGGCCAGCATGAAAAATGGATGTTGGTTAACTAGCAGGTGTTAGGTATGAGTAATGAAAGAAATGTGGGAGGCAAACTTTGCCCACTCACTTTGTGCAATACTTGTCTCTCTGCAAAGAATGGCCTCTTTGTGCAGGCATAAGCCTTGCATTCATTTCCTGCTCTGATCTTATCTAGAGAATTTGAGTGACCCTGATATGCCATTAAATTTGGGTCCCTATACACTGAACTACTCCTTCCGTTTTTATTCATGTCTTGGCATTACTGGGCATCCCATTTTTCCCCTCCACAGATAGATCAACACCCTGTAATATCCCTGAGCTAATTTTGTATGTAAGTCGTAATACAAAGAAAATGCGATCTAGCAATAACAATCACAGCTTTTGAAATGGAGCATACGGTAATGTGATCACACATTTATCAGACACACACCTCCCTGAGCCTTCAGAGGTTCAGTATTTTCTTTAAAGATACAAAGAGACCATCTGTCTATAGTCTACATATAGACTATACATAGCCTGAAGCCTACCTATCTATAGTCTTCCATACCACACATCTAATTTACATATGCAAGATTTCCCAAGTGAAGCAGGGCCATGATTCTTTACTATTTGGGTAGATAGGCCAAAAAAGAAATGGTCCAGACCTTTCAAGTGTCAGTAAATGTGTCATTACAGTGTCAAGTACAGCATATTTTAAGACCAGCATTAGTCATTCAAGATTATTTTCTGAATCATAATTCAGGATGGAGACTCCTCAGCTTCTCTGGGCAATGAGTTCCAGTATTTGACTACCCTACAGAAAAAGGAAAAGGAAAGGAAAGGAAAAGGACAGGACAGGACAGGACAGGACAGGAAAGGAAAGGAAAGGAAAGGAAAGGAAAGGAAAGGAAAGGAAAGGAAAGGAAAGGAAAGGAAAGGAATAATAACATATGATAAAAAGTTCTATTTTGTTTCTTTTATTCCTTTATTAATTGTTATTCTCTAAAGTGTTAGATTGCTAATTGTTATTAGTTGTTATTCTATAAAAGGGATTTAAATTGGTATATCCATTCCAACAAGACTCAAGATGACATATCAGGATATATCTATCTTTCTGACCATGCTTTACAAGAAAAATGGGCCATTACTTTGAAACACAGAGATAAAATAAACACCCACACTGAATATTCTCACAGAAAACCATGAGAAGGCTTCAAAAAAGCATACTTTTATAATGCATAGATTAAAAGTATTGCTAATAATGTCAGGAAAAGAAAACTTCAAAGTGCCTCATGGTTTCCACAGGCAGAACTGAACAACCGCTGGCATCACTGACAGAAAAGACGAACTTCAAAGTGGAGAGTCACCTTGGAGTGCTCAGAACAAGAGAGATGTTCTTGATGTACCTGGTCTGCGAATGAAGAGGAGAGAGATGTTTCCATAGCTGTCAATCTTTCTCTTGGAGAAGCACTAAATTCTCTTAGAAGCATAAGTACTAGAAGAAAATGTACCACACAGACACACAGAGTATAAACATCATTTTTATTCAGGAACTTCCAAAATATATTTAATAATTATTTTTCATAATTTTCTTCACTAGTCAGGCGCAAAATATTCACCTGCTCATGTGGGCTGTAGTAGTTTCCTATATTAGGCAAAATAACAAGCCTAATCATTAATATTATTGATCACATTTTTTCAAGCAAAACAGCTGACAGTCAAATGTAGACAGCTTTCTCTTAAGAGTGGCACACTTCTGTTACTCTTGTGTAGATGATGGCTGACACACATCTGTATATCAGCTGGGTATCCGTATATCAGCTCCTTGGTAGAGCCTTGTCTTTTCCATTCAAGGAGGTCTTTGGCTGCAATCCCAAGTAAGCAGTAAATGCCCCAAAGTGGCATCGCTCTGCATTTACAGAAATGCAGTGAAAGCAGAATTAGATGTGATGCCATTAATATACCCTCTGCAATTCTTGTAAAAACACTGGTCTTATTGATAAAGAATAACAAATTGATTTGTTTTAAGGCCTGAGCTTCCATGAGATCCCAGAAGCTGTCCATAGGAACAAATTTAACAGAGCCAGGGGACTGGCTTGAGTACTGTCCTTGCTATCCTTTTATTTACTTGTTATCCATTGTCACTTTGGGTTTTGTTAGTCTGGTAGCAAACATCTGCTCCGTGGGTGATATTTCAGCTGAGTTTAGCACTGCTGTCATTGCTTCAGGGAATTCGGTAGCTCTGTGGGTACAGTATTCTTCTGCCTAGTACATTTGCCACCAGTTTGTGATGGAGCTATGGTTATGAGGGGAAAGAATATGGCATGCTTGATATGGCCTTGCCTTTCTTGTGTCTCTAATGTGCACTTGCTGCTGGAGGAGGAGGGGAGAGAAGCAGCTTTCTTCTGAATTACAGAAAGATATGATTGCTTTCTATAAACCTGGAAGGGGGGGAGGGAAAGCTATTTGTGTTAAGGGATAATGTTGAAAAAAACAGCAAGAGACTATTAACTGCAGGAAATTAGAAGATGATTTTTAACTGCTAGAACAGTCTGGCTTTAGAGGAGCATTTGTCTAAGAGTAACAAGGGCAAAACAATAGACAAATTCTTAGACTGAACGTCATATACTTATGAAAAAGTCTCTTGGTGTCCTCGTTTCCTCTGACAACTGAGAATTTGACTCGGTGTCTCAGGAGCTACCTTTTAAGCCTGTGTCCTGCAGGAATTGAAGGAGTCTATATCAGCATTGCATGATCCCTGCGAGTTTCTTACCCAGGCCTTCAGGTAATCGTGACCTTCACCTTCATGTTCTCACAAGGCTGCAGGAGGCTATAGCTCTGTGCTGTGCTGTTCAGGAGCAGCTTGCAAAGACACGATGTGCTTTCTTTAAGGGAAAGTTTATTGGTGTTCTCTTTTTTTACTTAAGATCACAGCAACCTATGTTATTTATAACCTAAACTTGTGGAACTTGCTCAGAGAGCTTTCATAGTAGGTTTTTTGGAGCACGGCTCCTGGACCAAAGATCTGTGTCTTGCATGTTTGTTGAAGTGAAAAAGTGAGGAGATGCCAACAGTAGAGTAAGACCACTTTTGAGAGAGGCAGTTTTAACATGACTTCAGCTGAGGGAGTTGCAAATTCCAGCCCCATATTCAGAGAATTCAAGTTTCTGGCCCAGACAGAATATAAGGGGTCTCCAATGCACAGAGGTTGGGTTGGAAGAGGCAGTCAGTAGCTGAAAACTAAGTGCCTTTCACAGAATCCCATGCTCCTGGTTTTGTTTAGCTGTGGAAATGCCAGTGGGAGAGTCAGCAAGGCCTCTGTGCTCCCCTCACAAATCAAATAAAAATCTTTCAGCTCTGGCACTTTAACAATGCTTGGCTTGCCCTGTGACATTGAGTCAATTGTATGGAGTAGTTTTTCTTTCAGGAACAGACATGAAGAAACAGAAAAAAACTGCAAGAGTACGCACATTGTCCAAAGATTCTAGGACTCAGTAAGAGTGAATTTACTGAGCACAGCTCAAACAAATCAGAAGGCTTCCTTCTCTCCCCCATATTCTTCACAGACCAGGAGTTACAGCACAGGTAGAACTTCTGTATATGGTGCTCAATACTCTGTATGTTATGATAGGACGACTGATGGAGCAGCTTCAAAACAATTTTGGAAGATGTCAGATTGATTTCTTAGAGATTTATATTGTGTGAATGATGCTCAGTGTTTTGGAAAACATTAGACAGTCTCTAAATCTCTGAACTACCCCTGAGAAATATAGTATGTGACTTTTACATTGAGATAATAAGAAATAAATATTATGCATAGATTATTATTCTGACTTCATAAAAATTTCAGGA